TCTCTCTCTCTCTCTCTCTCTCTAAAAAGGAAATGGTAATATTGCATTTTATTTACCCAAAAGAGTATATATTTGGCATTTACTCAACCACTATGGTTAAATATGAGGTTGGGATATTTAACTCTGGTTAGACATCACGTGACAAATGTTAGTGTCTGGACTTTGTATTGGAAATTGCCCCTACTTTATTTGATAATTACGAAGAAAACGCAGATTCTTTGCAATCTTTTCAAATCCAGATAGTTTTGGAGGATTATGATTAGATTAGAATGGCATTTAATATTAGGTTAAGGTGCACTAAGTACAATTAGGGACATCAAAATATGATATGATTTATTAACACAACATGAATACAATATTAAATTAAAAGATTTTGGTCTTCCCTTAAGTCACCTGTTTCGTAAACAAGTAAACTTAGCATAACACAATTAATAAACGAATCGAATATAAGTCAACTCAATCAAAAATAAATAATTATACGATAGGACTCTGATATGACACGATTTGTTAAACACGTATTAATAAACAAAACAAATATGAGTATAGTAATTTTTGACACAAACCTGCTAAGACCTAACACAAATTTCGTCTCACCAAACATGATTGATAGATCTAAGTACAACCTCCGATAATAATTCAACGATGTGAGGAATTATTATTAATTGTAGATTAGGAATCCCTTCATTACATTTTTCTTAATTATTTTCCTAATTGGTCACATATCTTATAAACTTTTTTGACCAAATTTTTTAATTGGATCCTAAAAAAAAATTACAATTGATAATCTTTCTTTGACAAAATATAGGGAAAAAAATATTAAAAAGAGCTGAATTCTATCAATTACATCAAAATAATTTTCTAAATTCATGTAAATCATTAGTCAAGAAAGCAAGACACCTACTTGCATTGCCACTCAAATAGCCTTTTTTCTTAATTTGAAACTATACCAATATATTTTGTCCACAACTATTTATATATTTATTTATTTATTTATTTGTCTACAACTATAATCTTACATTTGTTTATTAAAGAACTAGCACCTTGACGTGCGATGTATAAGATTTATTATTCTTTCTCCTTTTTTTTTTGGGTTTCTTTGTTCACCTTTTTTATTTTCACATCTCCTTATTCAATAAATTGGGGAAATTTATAATAATAATAAGAAGATTTTAAAATTTTATTTTTAAAAAAAATCAAGTAACTAGTAATTAGTTATGAGAAAGTTTAAGGATTGTTGTTTAGGATATCTAGTAGGATATGATTTGATAATTTTTTTTATTTATATTTGATGATGCACAAAAATGGTTTTGCACACCACCTGTCAAGTGTAGGTAATAAATGCAGTGATCAATGAGAAAATTAAAGAAGACACGATTTATAGTGGTTCGGTCAATTCAACTTACGTCCACTCTTCAATGGCTTCAGTTGCCGGGTATTTTATTAATTCAAAGGTATGGAGAATAGAGATACAAGCTTTGAGAGAATGGAGAATCAAAGAAACAGTGTCTCCGGTCGTCGGTCTGTCTCCTGTAAGTGTTCGTGGGGCGTGTCATTTATAGTAGTCTCCTAACAGATTGGGGTTACTTTATAGCAGCTAAGATATCATTCTTGTGGAGATCACGACTTATCCTCAAGGCTATTTTATCGCAGCTAAGAGATCATTTTGGGGGAGATCATGACTTATCCTCAAGGCTTCTTTATAGCACTAAAAGATCATTCTGGTGGAGATCACGATTTATCCTCAACGGAAGGAGGAGGTTGGGGAGCTCTTCATGAAACGTGGTCAAATATTGGACCGTTTCCTTTGGTGGTGCAGATAAGCTTCCCATGTTCTCCTCTTGATGACATGCTAAGCAAAAAGTCTAATCGGTCTTGGACTATCTTGGGCTTGGTGGATTAAAAATGAGGTTGAACTCTTCAACTGGAGTTGGACTTTAATACATAAATTGGACTATCTGGGCTTAACCCATTATTTGCCCCCCCAATCAGACTTGGAGAAGGAGACATTGACTATATTATTATTATTTATTTATTTTTATATTTTTTTAAACTTCA